GCTATACCTGCGGTGGCTTCCGAGGCGAGTAATGGCACCATCTTCCACAACGCGCGCAACTTTGGGCTCGCACAGGCGGACATGGAAACTATAGAGGCATCGATATCACGGGACCTCGCCTTCTCCGCCCTCGTTCTTGATCGCATCAATGTTGTCTTAATGGGAGATTTCAACATCTAGAAAAGCAAACCGTTACATCTTCGCGCTCCTGAAGTATCCGCTCGGCTGGCTGCTGATCCTGCACCGCGCCCGTTATCTCGGCAATGGAATGACATCTATTCGCGATTTACTGAAATGGACAATGATTTACCGACGCATTTTATTTCTCAGGCTCAGGTTCTTCGTCTTACTCATGGACCGTATTTTCACAGCGATGCCCTCTTGGGTCACGCTTCAATGGCACGTGGGCGCTGCAACCTGTCTCTTCCCTGAACGCTTGCGCGAACAAGGCATTTCTGACCATGCTCCCGTTATAGTGACTGCGCGTCCGAGCCTGGCAACCCCTGCCGATCAGCTACCCATTCCTCAATTCATCCTCGGCGACCCTGGGTTCGCGATGGTGCATGCTAAGTTCTGCTCTGCTGTTGACTGGCGCGGGCTCTCTTCCTTTCGCCGAAGAAGATCTCAACGCAAAAGGCTCATGCGTGAAGCGGCCAGGCACGTTCGTAATCGTCTCATCAAGCTCGGCGACGCATCTGTCGAGGCGCAGCTCGTCGTGCACCGCTCCATCTCTCTTGCTGTCCGGCGCAAAGATATTCGATCGACCCAGAAGCTCCTGGCTTCCAGCCCGATCGCCCCCAGGCACATGCACATGAGCGGCCCGAACGCGGTGCCCCAGGACTCCAGCGAGTTCGACGCCGACTTCTTGATGGCCCAGAGCGCGCGCGCGGACCTTCGGGGGAAAATGCTGGAGGACCAGCAGCGCAGGAAGCCCCCCGACAGCAGCTCATTCAAACTTGTCAATGGCATGCGTAATGCACTTCGCCGTCGAGCTGCTCTCTGGTCGCCCTTCAAGAAGTCGCTGGAGCTTCAGGGTCTCGAACTCCCAGATGATGAACGCGGGCTGCGAGTGGCTGGCGCGCGGACAGATATCGTCGCTGAACTTCATCACCAGAGATCCCTGCAGGGTTGGCTCAGAAATACCTGGACACATTCAACGTGCCGATGGACTTCAGCAACATCTCTATTCCTGATGACCGACAACTCGAGGGAGCTGCCCGTGCTGCTCGTGTCTCTGCTACGGGTCTCGACGGCATCCCGTATTCTGCGTGGGCGAAGTCACCTCGTGCTCTCCAAGACCTGGCTGAAATTGCTCGCATCATATCTATGGGCCATTCTCCCCCACACGATTGCAATGATCATCTCATGGTGTTCTCACCCACAGGCAAAGAAGAAGGCGATTTACATATTGGTGCTCATCGGGAAGCCGCTCGCACTCGGGCACTCGCTTTGAAAAGTGCCGACAACGAGATCGCAGCGGCAGCCGTGGACCGCACGATCAATGGCGAGCTCGCCGTCAAGAGCCCCGCGGCTCAACGCGGCTTCCTGCTGGGGAGCAATTTTCTCAATAACATACCTCTGTTGGACATTGTGAGTCGCGCGGCGGGCCCCCAGGACCAGAGAGAGGTCAAGCAGCCGCGCCTCGCGCTGTTCGATTTCGGCGACGCGTTCCCGTCGTTGGCTCACAAATTGTTGGAAATGGTCCTGCAGCGCGCTGGAACGTCTGGCGCCCTCCTCGAGCTCGTCCTCGGCATCTACTTCTTCCCGACCGCCTACGTGCTGGAGGCTGGCGCGCTGCGCTTCTTCCCGGCGGCCGCGTCGGGCGTCGCGCAGGGCTGCCTCCTGTCAGGCTCGCTCTGGGCGCTCGGCATGAACCTGTTCGTGCTGCAGCCCGAGCTGATCGCCAGCAGGTCCGAGCTGTGCGCCCTCGGCGCGTGCGCGGACGACGTGGGCGCCGTGGCCCATGGCCGCCGCATGCTGCCCAGGCTCTGGCGCGTCTTTCGCGCTGCCGAGGCGCTCGCGGGCTTGGAGCTCAAGATGCCGAAGTGCATCCTCGTCCCGCTCGGCCTGCCGTTCTGCGCCGGTGTCGAGGCCGAGATGAGGGCGCGGTTGGCTGCGCATCCCCCATCGTGGGGTGCTATGACTGCGGCGGACAGAGGCGAGTATCTCGGCGCGCTGATGGGCCCCGCAGTCACGATCAGTGATATCTGGAAAGCTGCTGGCAGTAAACGGACCATCTGAATTCTGGAGCTCGCTGCAGTGGACTGCCCAGTACATCTCACCACGCACTTGTACAACACTACAACACTCGAGTACTGCCCGCCCGCGGCTACCTGGCGCAGATGTTCCCCATTCCGAAAGCGACCAGCTGAGCTGCCGCGCTGAGTGGGCCTTCGTGAAGATGTGGCACTTGCCGCCACAGGGCCTCGCAAAGGCGGACGTCCTCAGCCTTGCGAACTGGTCAGCGCTGCGCGTGCACTCGATCAACGCGCACTCCGCGGCCACGATGATGCGCGCCGCAGGGGGCGCGATCAAAACTTAGCGAGCTCTCTGTGTGTTCCTGGAGCAACAGACCTGGGATCATGGCACGCTCGCCGAGATCGGTCTTCGCTGGCGCAGCCCGTGGCTTTGGCAGACGCTGCCCATACCCACCCGCCTCCACAATGCGAGTAGCAACTTCGACGATGGCGGCAACTTGGACACGATGAAGGCGGCTGGCGGAGCTCGCGCGAAGCTCCGCGCGGCCGTGGGCGATGCCGTGACCTCAGGGTGCCGCCGAGGCGAGTGAAAACACGGCGTGCCCTCACATCCGCCCTTCGCCCCTCCCTCTACCCCGACGCCCCCCATGTCCTACTTGCCCGTCGATTTCAGGCCTGGAAGTTGGCCCCTGTCGGTTGAGCCGAACGGCGTGCCCTGCGAGACCTTTTAGTCTCGGGGGGCCCTCATAGCTGGCAAGCTGCTGCGATAGAAACTGCATGCGGGGGGGGGCTCACGATTAGCAGGCCCCACGCCCGATGTGATGCGCGCCGTCTGCCACCGCGCGCTCTTGACCAGTTGTCACATTATGCGAGGTGTTCAGCGATGCGGAGTCTAGTGCATCATCCCTCGGTGCCGATCCCTGGGAACGCTGCGCGCCGAATCGGTCTCGGAGGTGAACCGTCTCCCGAGGATGTGGCGCGGGTCGCGCTGGCTTTCCACTTGCGCAGCGCCCTTCGGCCCCAGCCGCCCCCCCCCCCCCGCACACGCGCGCGCGCGCACGCACGCACACACGCGCGCGCACACACACACACACATACGCACACACACACACACACACACACACACGCACGCACGCACACGCACGCACGCACGCACGCACGCACGCACACACACACACACACGCACACGCACACGCATACGCACACACACACACACACACGCACACGCCACCGCACACCACACACACACACACACACAGACACACACACACACACACACACTGACACACACACACACACACACACACACGCACATATATACACACACTCACACACGCACACACCCACACACACACACACACACACGCACACGCGCACGCGCACGCGCACGCGCACGCGCACGCGCACGCGCACGCGCACGCACACGCACACGCACACGCACACGCACACGCACACGCACACGCACACGCACACGCACGCCCACACACACACACACGCACACGCACACACCCGCACAATCAGTATTTTTACAACGCACGTCGGGCAGCGCAGGCCCTTGTAGATAGGTCCAGGGCCCATTTTTGAGCGTTGCACGTGTAGTTGTGCGTGCGTGTTTAGCTGCCCTTCTGGAGTCGCCAATGCGCGCCGTGTCCACTCGAGTCGCTCGCGTCGGATCTGGGTGGCCTGGCCCGCGGGGGCGCAGCTCTGAGCTCGGCCCCGCGGGGGGTGCTCGGGATCCTCGTCCGCGCGTGGCTCCAGGTCGGGATCCTTTAGAGGTGCTGCGCTCGACCCGCTGGTGGTGACAGCGCGGGTGGATTGGCCCTCTGGAGGGCTCCGCGTACTCGCACAGATTGCGACTTCCAGGTGCGGCCGCGCCACCCTGCTCTGCTGCTGCTGCCGCCGCCTCTCGGTCGGTCGTCGTGGTGGAGCGTTCTGATTGCGAGTGGTCTATATATATATATATATATATAAAGAACGCCATCGCTTTTTGAAACCTATGCGAAATTGCAAGACGAATGTGCGCGGAAGTACGGCGAGATCCACCAGTTGAGAATCACCCGCCTCCCATCCGCGAAACTGCTGCAAACCTGCGCGATGACTGCGCACGGCGCTTGGCGATTGAGGCGATTGCGAGCTTGCGCGGCGAATGCTCGCAGCGTTGGGGCGATGACCACGTTTAAAACATCAGACGGCCTCCTTTGAAGCGGCTGCAAACTGTTGAGACGAATGCGGCGCTGAGGCGAGGGCCACATTTTGGAAACCACCCCGCCCTCATCTGCGAAGCTGTTGTGCAATTTTCCAGCCTTCGGATCATAAGAGGCGAGGCGGTTTCAGGCGTGTCGCCCGCCCCGCCTTACCATGGTGAATGTTCATGAGGGATGGGATGAGGATGGCCCTCCAGGGCGAAGCAGTCGCCCGCGATCGGGGATGCATTGACTGACGCCACGCGTCGTTGGGCCTTCCTCGAGTTCGCGTGCCCCACCCCCCCAGAGGCTGAGGCGAATACGGGCTCTCGACGGGCGGCGTGCAGTTTTCAGAACCGCCCCAGCTCTCTTCGAGCTCTGGCCGCCCACCCGTGAGCTTGAAGAAGGGACCTCGCAGAAAGGAGTGAAGTCCGCACGGCCACGAGCCCATGAGGACACCGGGCAGTCTAACATCGTGCGCGATGGCCGTCTCTGGCAGCATATGAAATGTACCGAGAGCTTCAAAACGGTGTTGTGCCGAGCGTGTCTCGCGAGTGTTCTATCAAGTCTCCGCCGTTGCATGGGGCCCTGACCGGCGGGGTGACCCCCCCTCCGGGACTGGCCACCCACTGCGGGCGGGAAAGGCTGAAACCACATGAGTTCCAGTCGGACGCTGCTCCAGGCGCGGGTCGCACTGCGCTCGCACGCCCCGGTATCTCCCGTGTGCCGCGTGCCTGTTGCCATGTCAAGGCGGTTCCGGCTGGCGATTTGTGCCGCGGCGACGTGCCATGGCCACAGGGCACGCGCATCGCAAGACGTTCGCAAGTCTGCCACGGAGCTTGCTCAGTAGTTGTAGAATGACCCAGGCAGGCGAGTCGCGCTTTCCTTTAGACGAGCATGTGAGACGAGCGTTGTTTCGGCTGTTCATGCTAGTTGGGTTTGACCGAAACGGTTTAAACAAAAAAAGCGGGGATGTGCCTGAGTAGGACGATTGCATGTCGAGGAAGAAGCAATAACGAACATCCATGAAACAATGGCGAGGCGGGAACGACGGATTGGAGGTGCGCTTGTTCCGTCTTGCTTTCAATGCACTTGGTGGACGCTCTCTGAATGTCTCGACCAGGGGTTTCGGGCTGCGGTTTTAACTGGGCATCCGACGGTTGCCAACCGTGCAACATAGGGACACGCGTCCAACTGTTTCAGAGGAGGAGGAGGTGGAGGAGGAGGAGGGGGAGGAAAAGGAGGAGGAAGAGGAGGAGGAGGAACATGAGGTGATGAGCCCGGGTGTCTTGCTTTTGCGCCTCCGCGGAGGGCGCCCAGGACTACCTGGAGCCCAGCACTGGCCTGGCAGGCTCGCAATATGCATGCGCTGGAAGATTGCACGTTCCAGCGCAGTCTTGAAGGTACAGATGCGCATATTCGGCCGCGGATTGCTTGCGCGGTGGTGCCTGAGCCCAGCAGACTTGCCAAGCTTTCGAGTGTGCATTGGTGCCCCGGGTCGGATGTTTTCAAGAGAAACCGCGTATGGCGAAGCATCCCCGCTGGTCACACTTGCTGGCGACCGCTCCCTCCCTCCTGCTCCGCCTGCGCGTCGTGCCTTGCACCTTCCTTGCTTCTCCCCGCTTCTTGCTCCTCCCTTCTGCCTGTTCCCCGTTCTTCCTCGCCCTCCCATGTAAGTCTCGTACCAGGGTATGGGCCTGGAGGATGTTGATTGTACATGGCCTCGGGCTTCCCGACGCGCTGGCTGAAGCACCCCCGCCGCCTTGGGCCAAGCGCACGGGCCCCCGCGCGTTGGGTGGGGGCTCCTTATCTTGCTGCCGCCGCTGCTCCCCCTCCTCCCTGCCGCGGTCACTCTAGGCCTCCCAGGTGGGGTCTGAGTAGGTGGGGTCGGAGGATCGCTCCGTATCGCCGATGCATCGGCGATGCGGCTCGATGCGGAGCCAGAGTTCCTGAACGCCACTGGCGCCGACGCATCGCCGACGTCGCCGATGCGGCGCTACCTTCCGACACCATCAGTTTAGACCCCATTTAGGAAGCCTCTAGTCATCCCTTCTCTCTACGTCTCCGTCCTGGCCCGCGAGGTGGAGCGCAACATCATCAGTTCGCAGGAGGCTGCAGAGATCAAGGCTCTCGCCGCAGGGGGTGCGAACACATGCGCAGGTGGATGCGCGCGGCGGTCGGCGGAGCAGTGCAATGTTGTGATATTGTCGGTAGTGACCTTGGGACCATGATGATGCTGGCGACGGTGATAACGACGACGGCAGTGACGATGTTGTCGACGGAAGAGGATGGTGAAGAGGTGCACCCTAGCTCTGGAGTAGCACCTCCATTCCAAGACTAACCATCCAATGAACGAAGTCGCTCATCAGGGGCCCTCGATAAGATAGTGATCGCCAGCTCGCAACCAGCTCTCATCATTCGGGCTCGGCTTGCCAATGAAACCCCTTTGCCGATGATCACCCACCCGCTCTTGGACGTCACTCCAGGAACACTGGTCCAGTAGTTGGACTGCAGCTCGTACTTGGTGGCGACGGCGATGTCGTTGATCGCGGCGACGATGACGAGGACGATTGTCACGACGACGATGACTACGACCACTGGGACAGCGATATTGATCCAGCTGCATGTTGCAAGCCCCGCCACAGTGCCAGTGCAGCATCGAAATGCATGCGAGTCTGCCCAGGTCTCCGACGAGGTTCGGTAGAACTTGGGTTCGTCTGGGACGCATCTCTACGATACCGCAGGGTGGCGCAATTGTAACGTTGCATGGCTTGCGTTTCGCTATGGGGGATTTGGAGGTTTCTTTGGGGCTTCTTCGGGACCTTGACAGGGGGTGTCGAGGCTATGTCCGAATCAGGTGGGTCCGAAGCGACGAGCAGGTCCGAAGCCCGCCGAAACCGGTTGCTGGGTCCGATGCGACCTGGGTCCGACGCTGGCCAGTATGACTGATGTAAGGATGTGCGCTCCCTCGTTGTGCATGCCATTTCACTCCTCCCCCTGGCTCTTCTTCATCCTCCCACTCTCCATGTCAACAACCCCTCCCCTTCGCACTGCCCCAGTCGGGTCGCTCCTCCCCCCCCCCCCCCCCACCCCACCCGCCCCCACCCGACTCCAGAGTTTTCCAGGGACTCCCCCGCGGAGGCCCCCCCCCGAGGCTGCCGCACGTCCCTGGAGGCCTCCCGAGGCCCAGCGAGGGCAGAGGCGCCCCCCGAAGACCTCCGCGGCCCTCGATGCCTCTCGCACCCGCGGGGGGGGGGGCGCCCTGCGCCGCACAGAGAGGCCCTGGCCGTGGCGGAGCACCTGCCGCAGGGCCAGCCCCCGGGGGGCATGCCGGGGCCGCCCCCGGGCAGGCTGCCGCTGTCCAGGCCCACCGCGCCGGCCCGCCCCTTGGCCGCGCGTTGGGGGGAAAGCCTATGCTCGCAGCATCGCTGCGTGCGCATGTCAGGGCGCGGCCCCGCTTCGAGGTTGCCTGGCAGTGGGTTCGGGACAGAGGCGTTCTTGCGGCCATAGCGAGGGTGACATTGGGGCTTCGCCAGTGGACCACTAAATTTTTGAGGGTGACATTGGGGCTTGGCCAGAGGACCATGAATTTGCGAGCGTGACATAGCGTTTTCCCGAATGGACCACTTATTTCGCGAGCCCAAGGAATGGACCACTGAGTGGCCCAGATTCGTCCGCAGTTCCGTCCGCGCTTCGTCCGACATCCTCGTCGTCGGCGCTGAGCGGCGATCTCCAGGGTAAAAACACAAGAGATCGTGGCAACATTTAGTGGGCGACTCAGTGGGCGACTTCGAGGGCGACTCAGTGGGCCGACAGCTCGGTGCTCGCAGGGAGCCCCCGCTGGCAGGTCGCGTCAAGCGCCGGGGTGGGGTGGGGGACAGGGATGGGGCGGGGAGGAGGAGGGTGGAGGCGGAACGGGGAGCACGAGGAGGAATATGCCGCCAGAGCCGCGCGGGCAAGGGAATCTCTGATGCGTGACAGGGGCACCGCCGTGGCCGCCCGCGGGATCATTTTTTTCCGAGCCCCAAACATTATGGTTTCCAAGATGAGATTTCGACTAAGTGGGCGCCTCATCTCTTGCGAGGTGTCGTCTCTTTCGACAGATCGGCCTGGGGAGGTCCCCTGGAGGCGCCTGCGGCGCCGCCCCTGGCGCGCTCCGCGCGCCAGGGAGGGTGGTCAAACGCAGATCTAGGACATTCGCGCGTACTCCCGATATTGTGTGTAATGTTAGCAAGCGTGGACCCCAAACAGTGAGTTAGTGGATATGGAAGATATGCGCAGCAAGCTATGTTGTCTCAGCTATGTGGTGTGAACTATGCGGTGTGAGCTAAGCTGTGCAAGCTATGCTGTGTGAGCTGTGTGGTGCACTGGATCTGAGCGGTGTTGCCGATGTGGTACGGACCATATGTTGTGTATGCTGTGCGGTGTAAGCTGTGCGGTGCAAGCTTTGCAGCGTGAGCTATGCTGTGTCGGCTATGCTACCCACTCGGGGGCACGGGGGCGCTCGCGAGGCGCCCTCGGGCTGGCACCATGTGAAGCCTCGGCTGATTCCCCGGCGCGGAGCGCCCACAAGGCGCCCAGGGGCAGGCGCCGGGCGAAACCTCGGCATGCCCCCCGACCGCGGGCCGCTCACGACGCGCCCACGGGCGGGCACCAGGCGGAAACGGCGAAGCCTCTGCAGACCCGTTTCGCGCGGGGCGCCTGCGGGGCTCCCAGGGGCAGGCGCCAGGCGAAACCTCGGCATTTCCCCCCCCCCCCCCGCGCGGGGCGCACACCGCCGGGCACGTGGCGAAACCTCGGCATACCCCTCCATCGCGGCTCACGAGGCGTCGGGCGCAAACAGCACCAGTATGAAACCGACATGGAAATTCTATGGCAAATTTAGCTGGTTAAATTCAAGCGGGCATTTTGCGCCTTGCGCTTTGGGTGCCTGTGCGCGACTAGATTCCGCCATGTTTTTCTCCGCGGGCTTCAAACCAAATCATGCTGGGCGCATGTTCCCAATAGGGGTTGGGCGCTCGCGTTCTTTTGGCCGTGGCGTGCGATTTGTCTTCCTGTGGCATTGATGTACGCTTACGTTATTTTATGTTCTCTCTCCGTTGGCCTGGCTCGCCTTGTTATCGCGATTTCGCGATGTTGCCCCCCCCGTGCTGCGCCGTCAGATGGGGCGACCTCGCGCGCCCATGGGCTCAATCCCACCCACCGCCCACGCATGTCGCGCCCGACAATGGAACACCAGCCTGGGCCAGCATTTCCGGGCGCTACATACATTACATCTCATAGCGTGCATCACATAGAGTCCAGCGCATATATTGCCTCACATCGATTGCACTACGTAGCTTGCACCAGCCGGTACGCTTGAAGGCACTGTGCGGGGCCCGTGCTGGCCAAAATGTTTTTGGGGTGCCCCCCATTCATGCCCATCCTCTGGCCCCCCTGCTCCTCTTCGTTCTCCACCATTTCCGCCCTTTCCAGTCCTGGCAACTCTTCTCCTCATCCCCCTGTTCAGTGTCCCTCCTCCACCCTTCCCTCCTCCTTCTCCCACCCCCTCCTTTTCCTCCTCCTCCTCTTCCTTCTCCTCCTCCTCCTCCTCCATGTCCTCCTCCTCCCCCTCCTCCCCCCCCCTTCCTCTCCTCCTCCTCCTCCTTTTCCTCCCCCTCCCCCTCCTCATCCCCTTCTGATCCTTTTCAGCTGCGGGGCGAACTCCCCTGTCAGCCTTACACGACAACCCTTTGGAGTGACGGAGCGCGCCCCCTGGCGCCCGCCCATGCGCAGCGAGACGGCGCGACGCGCGGCATGGATCATGGCATGAATTCCGGCATGAATCCGGTATGAATCCGGCATGGCAATGGCATGGCAACTTTGCATAACCGAAATCAATGTTTAAATGGTGCATGACAAATTTGCGCCGCATTTTTGTCATACACGTGATTTCGTGGTCGTTATGCCACTGGGCGCCCTCCGGCAATTTTTTCATGCCACCCCGCGGCTTCTCTCTCCAGATCTCAGGCGGACGCGAGGCGAATGGTCTTCACCCTCGCCCCCCTTCTGGGCCCTGGGCATGGTTGGCCAAATCAGCGTCACATCGTTGGGCGTCAGGCGTGTCGATGTAGGACTGTCGGTCCCCGGGGCGAGGGCGCACTACCCTTCGCCCCCGCGACGCGTCTCCACGTCGAAAAAAACTGGCACCGATCGATGGCACCACGCGCGGGCCAACGCGGAAACGTAGCCCTCAGTGTCCGCCGCTGCGCCGTAGGCGCCTTCTCCGAGTCCCCAGGCGTCTGGGACGCATGCGAATTGTTCCAAACGGACCTTCGGTTGCTCGTTCTGGTGCTGCGACGCGCGTGAGGGGTGCGCCGAAATCGGCGGGGGGGACCCATTCGAACAGTGGCAGCGGAACCTTCGGTAAAGCTCCTTTCGGGGCCCTTAGCGCTAAACTTGCGGGATGGCCCACGCAACCTCAGAGGACCGTCGAGTGATCAGTTCAGCAGCCCCCGCGTGGGCCAGGCAGGGGGGGGCGCATCTTCTGCGAGCGGCGCTAGTCTCCAAATGCATCAAGTTGGCCCGCGGGACCCCGTGGGTCCCGTGAGGCGCAGTGGGACTTGGGGCGTGGTTTCCCAGCCAGCCAACATCATGTGAAGTAGCTTCACGAGACGCTTCTTCTGCACACGCCTTTCCTGCGGGTCCGCGGGGGCCGAGAGGCGCCCACGGGCGCCCTTCACTTTGGCACCGGGCGGACCCGATTCCTTGGGGGAAAGAAGTTAAGAGCCCTAGGTGCCAACACCGTTTGGGGACTGTGCCCCGCGTCCACGTCCTCGGGTCCAGTGGCAGCACACTGTTCCCCAATTTCCCCCCCCCCGCCCCCGCGGTAACAAAGTTTAGCCCCGCGGTATCGGGGGGGTGGGCCCGCGCCAGGGGGGGGGCAGAAACGCTCCGAGGACGGCCATGCGGCCGTCAAGACACGGTTCAAGACGGCCTGAGAAGTCCACGAAGCGTATCAAACGGCCCCAAGAGGCTCCCAAAATCGCTAAAGAGGGCCCACGATGGCCCCTAAGAGGTCCCCTAGATGCAATAATCACCAGCCCGCTCTTTCAGGGCATCGTGCGTTTTTGGCATATTTCCCAACCGTCCTGCGGTGTGGGTCTTTGCTTTGGAGAGGCAGCCCCTGCGTATCCCATCCTCCTCTCCTCCTCCTCCTCCTCCTCCTCCTCCTCCTCCTCCTCCTCCTCCTCCTCCTCCTCCTCCTCCTCCTCCTCCTCCTCCTCCTCCTCCTCCCCCCCTCCTTCCTCACGTCGTTTCCCTCACTTTGGCACACCCCTTGCACGTTCGGTGGCCCCATATGGGAGCTTCACTGAAGGCCCCAGTGGCATGGGTCGCATGCCGCCACCCGCTGACTTTGGCGCCCCCTAACGCGCTTCGTGGCCTTTTAGGGGGCTCTACCAAAAAGGTCCCAGTGGCATGGTTCGCATGCCACCACCCCTTCACTTCGGCACACCCCTGACACGTTTCGTGGCCACATTGGGAGCTCCACCGAAGGCCCCACTGGCATGGTTCGCATGCCGCCCCCCCCCCCATGCTTACGGTTTTATTGTAGCGCTTTCAGGCCCGTCGCTGCGTTTCCGCATGGCCCCCCCCGGCCAGAACGGCGTTTTGTGGCGTTATAAGAAGTTCCACCGCAACCCTTAGATGCAGTTTCCGCATTTTCCTCCCCCACCCAGTACAGCGTTTCGTGTGCTCAGGAAGAGTTCCACCGAAGGTCCCAGTGGCACTGTCCGCGTGCGTCTCCCCCACCCAGTACAGCGATTCGTGGCCACGAGGCCCCCAAGAGACCCCAAAATGGTTCAAAACTGCCGCTCAGACACCTGGAGAGGCATCCCGGAGTTCGATCCCAGTTCGCAAGAGGCATGCTTGAGCCAATCGGGGGGATCACGGCTGCCCCAGCGCTGGTTTGGATAACACATTGTTTCGGTTCTATCTTGGATGCCCACCCAGGATCAATCCGAATATTTCTGAGCCGATACTCCAACCCTACCCATGTCCACCACATCCTTGAGTAGGATCAGCAGTCTAAGGAGGAGAAGGTTGACGCTGAGGCGGATGATGAGGATGATTCCAAGGAGGATGCCCACCCAGATCCCGCCCAGGTCTTCGTCCATGCTAATTATGGGGTCACGGTTGCCCCGGCGCTGGCTCCGAGGACCGTTTCAAAACGGATCCAAGACGGCCCACGAGGGCACCGACACGGCCCAAGAGGCTCCCCGAGAAGGCCCAAGACGCACCAAGAGGGCCCCCCAGAGAGACCTCCGAGGCCGGGTGGTAGGCCTCCAATTCGTGGCCCAAGAGATGGAGTCAGTCAGAGCGCTGG